CAGAGCAGCTTGGCTCTGGCTACAAATGAGGAAGGAGCATTAGTAAAGGTGGGAAAGGTTGCCATCTTAGAGTGAGCATGATTGATGTGGACACAGCGGCATGCAGCAGCGCTTACGCCGAAGCCCTTGCCGACTGTCGCCGCAGCGACAGGCAGCAAGAGGAAGTGAGTTGACCTCAGGGTCATTGTGACAAAATGCTTAACAACAGTAGCAAAGCACTCTGCGTTTGGGTCAGGGTCATATACGTGAACACAGAGGAGGCTTGCTGCTGCCGTGTATTATTCGGATTCAAGAGCTGAATGCATAAATGTTGCCACATTGCAATGATTTCAAGCTGCTTTGGCGAGATGGTCATGTCTCTGAGAAACCTTGGAGAGAATCTTCTATTTCATAAGCTGGGTATGATGATTCTTATTGTTATTCATTGTTGTCATGGGGAATTTAGTGTCTCATGATATAAATCCTGTCTTAGATGCTTTACCCCTCGAATGGCATCATTGTCATTCTTGAGGTTAAGCACCAAGAATGAAATTCGTGTTATTCTTGGGGTAAAGAATTGTCATCTTCGAAACCTTAAGGTTTTGAATTTCAACACACACACACAAAAACTGCACGAAAATGGCTTTGAGCAGCTTCAATTCTAATATATCAGCATCAGCCTACAAAACCCCACAGTGCCAGAGCCCTTGTAGCTACAGTACATGTGTAATCTGTTTGATGTGTATGTGCATCCATGCCCCTTGTATATGTTTGTGTGTGTCCTTCAGACCAAACTCAGCATGCTGAGCCATAGGTAGCAGTTAGCTGGATTTTATATTCCAAAGTGAAGCCAAGGGAGGTAGACCCTGACCTCAGCCACCCAGAACCACGGCTGCAGGCCTCATCTCCATAGGAATCAATAGACTACAGTAATAATGGTGATCTATGGGGCCAACATCAAAGAAGGCACTGACCTTTCCATGTTGGGGGTTGGGGGATGACCACCGAACTCCGCGAGCGCGGGTATGTGTGTGTGCAGAATAAATGTTTTGTCAGAGAACAAAGCTCGTAGCCATGTGCACCAGATACACACTTGTATGTACACACAGTCAGTGGCCTACAGGAATATGAAGCAAGAAGCATGCATATAGAAGCTAGTGCAACCAGGCTCTCACTTACACATGACATAGGAACATGTCAGCGTTTCTCACTTCATGACCGCCCCCAGCTGTGTGTATCATATATGGAATTTTGTTTGATTTGAAATTATTATTTATTTTTATTCTTGGCCTCATTTCTTGGAAAGTCACATTTCAGATGCAGCTTTTTTTTTATTTAAATGAGAAAGGAGGCTGGAGTTCCTCAGCTTTAGCTTCTCATGGGAAAGATCATTGATAAGATAATGTTCAGAAGGTGCTCTTGATAATCGAGTGGGAAAAACATAAAATGTAATTCACCTTCAATAAAAAGTGAAATGCTTTATATTACTATTATTGTCCCTCACCAGTTTGCATACAGAACCAACAGATCCACTCGGCCCTCACATATCTTGAAAGCAACAACACCTACATCAGAATGTTGTTTGTTGATTTGATCTCAGAATTCAACACAATCTCACCGAAACTGATTGGAAAACTTAGCACTCTGGGCTTGAGTACTACACTCTACAGCTGTCTCAGACAGACCACAAACAGTCTAGATTGACAGTCACACCTCCTCTGCTCTAGTGTTGAACTTGCATGGGAGCCCCCCATCAGCATCACAAACAACCTGACATGGTCTTTAAATATGTCCATCATGGTAAAGGAAAAGCTCAGAAACAGCTGTATTTTTAAAGGAAAAATAAGAATTAAAATTCCTGTGCCAAGTTTTTGTGAACTTCTAAAGCCTCCTGACTGGAAACATTACAAACTGGCATGGCAGGCCTCTACAGCAGGTGATTAAAACCAACCAGGTACAACAAGACCCTCCCCAGCAACAGCCTGTTCGCTTGCTGCTGTCGGGCAAGCAATAGGTCTACAGAAGATTCTGGTGCCATACCACCAGACCATAGAGCAGCTTCTTTCCTCATCATATGAGCCGCCTCAACTCCACCAAAAGACAATGTGTTTGGCAACTGGTTTTTATATTTGTCATGGCATGAAAAGAGCTCAGAGACAACATTTATACCACAACAGTAAATGTCTGATTTGAAATCAGTGTATTCAGACTGGAATTCGAAAAGAACTCTATAGGCAACGCATTTACATATGAAGTAAATGCACATATGCAAATAGTCGTAAAAAGATAAATAATTGGAAAATGCACACTAGTTTAATGTTATCAATTCAGGAATGTACAAAGAAGGGAAGAGTTAAAAGGTCAAACAACAAAACAAACTTGAGTTCTCAGATCAGTCAAGTGACGTCACACAAACTCAGCACAGGAACACATATGGTTAGCGTTAACATAGCTAGATCTGAGTTTAAACAGTGTTTATGCACGTTATAACTAAATGCATAGAATGTTAGAGCACTCATTAAATAGTTTCTAATATACAAAATATTTTAAAAAAGATTCGTATTCACTAACATGTGCATGGTGGTAACAACAGTTGAGGATTGGAAGCAGGGTATTAGAAGGTGAGCTACCTTTGTACAGACTAACACAAATGGTACTCTGGAATAAAATGATATTCTGACATTCATAAGAATAGTTGTGATGGGATTTTGTGTTTTTGTTCTACAAAAGGGAGAATTCATTCTCATGTAAAACACAATGGTGACAGTTTTGACAGTACTTTCTACTTTATGTAACTTGAAACGTGCACTCTTCCACAGGAAAATGTTGTACTTTTTAATTCACTATTTTTATCAGAGAGCTGTACAGTTGCTACTTTTCAAATTGTACATACAAGATGTGTATTTAATTCATACAATACTGTGCATTATTGTATTATTTGTATTGTATATAAAGAAGTTCAATTAGTTCCACTTCAACCAGCTACAACAATACTTACACATGGTTGCATTAGGATAAAAACATGTCATAAATAATTATATTTCAATCCCACTGGCCATTTTTCTGCAGAAGAAGTATACCATGTTTCTGTTACAACTTTTTCCTATGAGTAGAGTTTTGAGATTGAGTATTTTAAGATTCCTGGAGAGGTCATTTGACACAAGTCAAGCATCTGAATATTTCTCTGCACCCCTTAAAAAAAAACTGTAGAACAACTTTTATGATTTCATTCGATTTTTCCATATGAATTCCACATGGTGATCAATATCTGCAAATATATACATTATTACATAATGATTATAATTATATCAACCAGGCCTATAGCCTCACTGGCTGACTGATATTATGAATTGATCAGTATTGGCCCTGACTATCAACCTGACCATGTCTGCACAGCAGAGTTGTAGAGTGCCTTACATCTGCCCTTCCATCCACAGCTTTGTTCTGCTTTGCTGCTTGATTAACACTCGAAAGAAGAAGTCATTTGCATGGATGAATTCATTTCCAGGACAATAATATGTAAAAAGGATTCTAAATTTGTTGATTAAGTGGATTACTTAGTTAACAAAAAGCTTTGGGCAATATTCTTTTTTTTTTTATGAACACACAGAAACACACACACACTCAGACTTTGTCAGACAGCTTGGTGCAGCAGTTCTTTGCCTCTCGCCTCCAGGCCTCCATCAACACCCAAACCCCCAGGCCCCTCCTCGGCCCTCCCCCAGCCCAGGGCCTCTCTCTGGGGTCATTATGGGCTCTGACATGCCCCGCTGGCTCCATGAATGTTAATGCCCAGTGGAGGGAGTTAGGGGCCAAACACACACTCATGCAATTACATACACACACTTCTGTGTTTCTATGAAGTACATTTACAATCTTAGCAAATGATATACAGAGATACAAACCCACACACACATAGATAGTTCCAGAAGGCCACAGCAGTAACACACAGTCATGCACATATGGGCAGACACCCACTCACAGTCTTGCTATCTGATCAGAGATAACACAGATGGCAGATAGCCTGTCCGTGTCATGCAGGCAGCCGTGGGCTCAGCAAAGATCCATGTATAGCAGCGAGATGGGAGGAACAGGATGCAGAGGAGGGATGAAGAGAGACATGATGTATTCAGGAGGACTCCTTCACCTCCCTCCCGCTGTCCTCCTCAGGACTTTCCATGCCTACTTTTGCCGGCTTCTTCCTTCTCATCAGCTCCTCTTCTTGTCTCTGTTCCTCCCTCCATCCTCGTTCTTGCTCCTCCCCTCAACCCCAGCTCAGATCCCACAGCCAATACCACTGCTCCACTTTCCCCTTCCCAGAATTCCCCACCTCCCCTCTCTTTTCTCATGATATTGTCAAAATGCTTTGGTGCAAAATTGCTTCATTTCAGTAGGACTGGGTCTTGTAAAAGAACTTTATGATTTTTGAATTCACCTATTGAAGTCATAAGTGTGTGCAATGAAGTTCAAATTATACTCTCTGAATCCATATGTCAACACAGCCAAAATCTATGACCATGTGGATTGTACACACTGAACAATGTTCTATCAGTGCCTTAAATGATTACTACCATCATTAAGTAATTTAAACTGGGCTTGTGTACAACCTTCTCATGCTTCTTGCTCTGTTAGACCTCGTAACAATGTCACTGATTCCCAGATCTCATCAACTATTTAAGAGAGTACAATATTTCTATAACTAATACATTTAGAATGTTATCAGTCAATTAAATGGGCGTGGTCAGTTGTTATCTGTAACCGGTTGTATATGGACCCAAATGCGCCACACAAGATTCCAGGGATGCTTGGCTTTTATTACGAACTTGCAGATATAGCAGGCAGAGTAAATCAGAGTCAGGAACAGAAGGCTGGTGGGTTTACCGAGAGTCAGGCGAGACAGGTAGAACAGGGGCAGGCAGGGCCGGTAACAGGAGATCAGTCCGTGAGAGAGTGCTGGAGAGTCTGGCATGGAAAAGCAAAGAACAATCTGGTAATGTGTGTCTGGGAGGCAGGAGTGTATATGGTGGTTTGATTAGTGATATGAGACCGGTGAGTGAACAGGTGAAGGGAGTTAGACTGATGAGGAGGGAGTGGCTGAGAAGTAGAGTGAGGAGGGTGTGGAGCTGAACTGTGACAGTTATCACTACAAAGCTTCAGACAGGGCAAACTGCACCTAGCACTGTGAAACAGTTGCAGTTTTAAACATGTTAAAAGTTGTAAACTAAAACAAAAGTACTTGGTTAAGTTTAGGAATAGATCGTGGTTTGTTACGTAGCTTAAGTTAAGTATATCACAGATCATAACATTTGATTTTCATACCCAATCTGTTAAGGCCATTTCACCAGCGATATGGAAATGCATGAAGGAACAGCTGAAAGAAGAAGAAATTAGGCGCTGCGACCTATAGAGGCCACTGCTTAACAATTTTGAACCTCCCTGTGGTGATCCAGCTTACCGATGATAACGGCCTCCTGAGCTAATTAAGAGGTAGATTAGCTCCACACCACCTAAAATCTATGCTCCCGATGACAACTGATAACGGCCATTTAATGGGCTGAGAACATGCAAAGCAGGTGACTCGTGATGAATGATGGACAAAACTAGAAAAAAAACACCCAAGTTGTACAAAAGCATAATCTGTACTTCAAAAGGCTCACCTGGTAGAGTGGGTGCCCACATACGAAGGCTGAGCTCCTCTAGCCGTGGCCCTTTGCTGTATGTCATCACCTCTCTTCTCCCTTTCCCCAACTTCAGCTGCACTATCAAATGAAGGCAAAACCTAATATGTGGAGAAAAAAAAAAACACAGCGCCTGAATGCATATGTTTTTCTCTCTCATTGAGAGAAACAAAAAGATTATAGCTGGATCCTTAATATTTTTAAGTAGCTTCTAAAAATATCAGCAAAAGACAAAACTCCCTGCTGTTCTGACTCAAACAATCCACAGTAAAATCAAGCTTCTTGTGCAATGAGCACATCCACTGATTCCACAGGCAGTCGGTAAAAAGGTCTGCGGTCATTAAGCAACCTGTTCTCTCTGCCACCTCGTCAAATACTGATGCTTGGATCCTTTAGCGTCTGTATGAGACACACCAGGTGTATCCACACTGGTCATAAAAGAGTCCACGCTTCTTACTGATGTTCACGTTTATTATTGTCCTCTCATGGAACACCGTGAAAACTAGAAGACACAAAATAGCTTCATGTACAAACAACAAAGAAACAAATACTCTGTCTCATCACCTACAACAAGTATAACAGTTCTTTAATCAGTTAACTTAATAAGCTTTACCGTGTTCGCCTGGTAGACCAGCAGGAGAATAACATGACGGGAAAGAAAAGGTTCGCTGGTTTCACCCGCCATTTGTCGTCTTTCTGAGCTCCGTTTAACTTCCGGGTTAATGGTCATGTTACAACAACAAAAGCTTGTCTATCATCATCAGTGAAACAAGGGCAAAACGACAATGAGTTTAAGACAAGGTACCCAAAATTACAGTAAACATAACATGTATTATAATTGCAGAAATAAACTAACAATAATACAAATCGCGGAAGTCAACTTCCGGTGTTGTCATGGCAACGTTTATACACCGATCAGCGTCAGCTACACTCCCACCAAATTACCTTTGATTAATTAACATCCAAATATATGACAGTAATGCTTAACACAGTGTACACTTTTTTTATCAAATAAATCAATGGTAATTTCCAAGCACTTTGTTAAGGTCACTCAAAGAACATCTGAAAATTTAGCAATGTAGTTGAATAACAATTTATTAACTCTATACCACAACACAGTAGAATGTTATTAATAAACAACACTGTTCTCCACAGCCATAGGGTAAATAGTAACTTACTTTACTAAGCTAGAGAGTAGATAACTGATCACTGACTGATTAAACCAGAAGCTCTGTAGTTCCGTTGTTTGTAACTACTTCCCTTTGCCATAGAAACTTTGGCCCTGTGAGCCAGTTTGAATTAATCAGCTCTGCTAGCTTGAGGCATGATCAGCAGGGTTCTCCCCTGTGTCGACGTAGTACCAATGTCCTGGGTTGGTGGTTTCCCGAATTCTCTGGACACGGTTTGCGACGAAGACATGGAACCTTTGAGCTTCGTTGTTGATATGCCCTAGGTCTACTTGTGAATCTGTCCAAAAGTACTCTCCATCAACGCCGAGCTCTAGCTCTTCCTTTAGCATATTGGTCAGAGCAGCAGAGATCACTGCTGCAGTTAGCTCTAGTCTTGGTATGGTGACTATTTTTGTGGGTGCAACACTTGCTTTGCCCATGATCAAGGTGCAGCGCACCTTATCTTCACTTACCAATCTTATATATGAACACTGACCATAGCCTTGACTGCTAGCATCTGAAAAGTGATGCAGTTCAACTTTCAGGACTTTTCCAAAGTTTTCAGGAGTAAAGCATCTTGGGATCTGAATATTTTCAAGGTTTCCTAAGTCCTTCACCCAACTCTCCCACCTTGGCTTCAATTCACTGGGCAGTGGTTCATCCCAACTGATACCCTTCTGACACATCTGTTGTAGTACCCTCTTTCCTTGAAGGATGAATGGAGGCAGAAATCCTTCTATGTCTTACCTTACTTCAAACACTCTTTGCACTGGAAGATCGTCGTAGTTGAGATCCACATTCTTCACTTCAACAGCACGCTCAGTGACACAGATGGACTCCATTACCTCTTGGCTGTTGGAAATGAATTTGTGAAGGTGTAACTTCCCTTTAGCACAGACCACTTGGGTTTCTTTCACCAGTTTGACTGCTATGTCAACGGATTCCAAGCTTATGAGGCCATCGTCTACATAGAAATGCTTTCTGATAAAGCTAGCTGCTGATGGAAACTCTTGCTCGTTTTGGCTGGCCAGATGCTTCATGCCATTATTGGCGCAGCTTTGAGATGATGATGCTCCGAAGAGGTGAACTTTCATACGATACTCTCTAGGTTCCGAGTTGGTATCTCCATTTTCCCACCACAGGAACCGCAGATAATCTCGGTCTTCCTTGCTAACGTGGAACCTGTGGAACATTTTTCCCACATCACACGTGACTGCAATGGGATGTTTACGGAACCGGCAGAGCACTCCAGTCATTCCATTTGTAAGATCCGGTCCTGTTAGCAGATGGTCATTCAAGGCAGTGCCTTCATACTTTGCAGAGCAGTCAAAAACTACCCTAATCTTCTCAGGTTTGTCTGCTCTCTCTGCATCACCATCCTTGAAGACACCTTCCATAAATCTCAAATCGTCATTCCTGAATTTAGGATCTCTGTCAAGTTTCCTTTTACGGTGCTTCAGCCGGACTAGGGCAAGCTTCTTGTTGTCAGGGAGGTGAGGACGTGCTCTGAAGGGAAGGGGCATCCCAAAGTGGCCGCACTCGTTCTGCTGGATTCTTCCCTTTAAAACTTGCAGAAACTGAATATCTTCTTGAGATATGCTTTTTTTCTCCTGCTCTGGTGTCCACAAAATCGGACTTGAGCACTCGAATAACAGCAGCTGGCGTCACAGGTGGAAGCTCCCGGACAGATATACGATGACACAGAGCAGTCACATCTATGGAGTTCGGGCGTTGTGGTGCGCTTCCTACGATGCTCCAACCTAGGTCAGTCTTAATGGCGTAAGGGTCATCGTCGCCTCCAGAGATAACCCTTCGTGGCGCCAGTGCTCTGGAGCAGTCATAACCAATCAAAAGTCCTACTCCACAATCCATTAGCGGGGGCATTTCTTGAGCTATGACTTCAAGGTGTTTCCACTTATTGGCGGTTTTGCAGGTCGGAATGTGCGTACATTCCAGCGGAATGAAATCCCTTGTATAGGCAGGCGGTAAATCAATCAAGCTATCTGAGGAAAACCCTCAGACTTTAAGTCCACTAACTCTCTGACTGTTCACAATTGAATCTTTTCCCATCATAGTGGAAAGCTTTAGTTTCACTGGTTCCATCACTGCCTGCAGTCTTTCACATACCTCCTGGTCAACAAATGTGTGAGTGCTCGGAGTGTCCAATAGGGCATACACCAGGGTTTCTGAATCGGGGGTGTTAGGTGCTGAGATCCATACTGGAACGATCATTGACGTGCTCCCACATCCACCTCCAGCCACGCAGCATGATAGTGAGGATGTATTTACTTTAGTTTGCAGGACACCTTGAGGAAAAGATTTGTTTGCTGCGGGATGATCTTCATGCAGTGGAGTAGGATGGTGCCTTTTGCATATTCCACAAATGGCTTTGTTCTTACAGTCTTTGGAGTAGTGTCCTTTCCTCAGGCATGCAAAACACAGCTTAGTATCGTGAATGAACCTTCTCTTTTCTTCCACAGACATTTCCATCAGCATTTGACATTTGTGTATGGAGTGATTTTCTCCACAACACATACACTTGCCTGGGTTTGAGTTGTCAGCCACTGAGTTCCATTTATTTGGCTTGAGCTCTTCTACATTATTGGATTCGATTATGATACTTGATGCATCCGAGTCCTTCACATTTGAGGCAAAGGCGTTTGCCTTTGAGCGGTTTGTTTCTCTAAATGGCTTTTCTTCAGAGGGCTTTAACGCATGCAGCGATGATACCGGATTGCACGCTATGCATGCTTCCCTTGAGATGAACAAAGCAAACTCTCTAAAGTTTGGATAGTCCTTGGATTGATCCAGCCGTTCCGTGACATAACGATTCCACCTGGACGTTACCAAATCAGGGAGTTTGAGCAACATCTTCTGATTCTCTTTACAGACGTTCAGTACCTGGAGACCCTTGTCATGGGGCATAGCGTTGCTACATGTTTGCAGGAAATCGCTGAATTCTCTTAGCTTAACATACTCTTTCCCACTTATCTTTGGCCACTTGTTAAGTTTATCTCTGAAGGCCCGTTGCACTACAAAGGAATGACCGTATCTGGCATTCAGCCTATCCCATGCTTGTTGATAGGCCTCATCGTCCTTTCTGTAGAAGCTGCCTTCAAGAGCTGACCTTGCCTCCCCACCGATGTACTTTTGTAAGTAGAACAACCTATCGGCAGGATTTGAGCATCGTCTCGCTATAAGAGCCTTGAAGCTTGTGCTCCATTCTGTGAAGTTCAGTGGATCTCCAGAGAATACAGAAGGTTCTGGAACTGGAAGTCGAGAGAGAGCCATTGACTCCTGTAGTGTCTGCACTAAGGATGCTTCATTTTTTGTAAGTTGCCCTCCCTGACATCCTGCATAGGGAGCATGTGGAGTTGTATCGTTCACTTGACTGTACACAGGGCTTCCTACAGGACTGTATTTCTCACTTTTTTCCTTTGACTCCTCCTCAGTATACACTCTAAGCTTCGCTTCAATGACCTCAATGTCTCTTTGATTTTCAAGCCTTTTCAGTTGCTGACGTTGTGCTTCAATGACAGCTTCCATTTCAATTTCAGCTCTTTTTGCAGCCAACTGTGCAGCTGTATCTGTTCTCTTAGCCGAAATACTTGGTGACTCTGAGAGATGATTGGAACGGTGGCTGAGTACAGTAACTCTGGAAGCTGTGGACCCATATATGGACCTAGCGTGTTTACTGTCGAGCAGCATCCGTAACCTTGATTTTTCCACCTCAGGATCAAATTCTTCTCCTTCTTCAATCATGCGTACTTTCATTAGTCTCAATAAATCTGCTGATACAGCTGAGCATGCATCAATTTTTCTCCGAATTTCTTGGCTTGGTACTGTTTGGAGTCGTGTGTTGTCGTATAACTGCTTCAACTCAGACTCAAGCTTCTCAACCACATCCATCATGCCATACAAGACACTCTCAGGGCACTTGTGTTTTAATTTATTACGGACGTCCCTAACATGGATTTTCCATTTCTCATATGCTGACTTGAACTTCTTATCTCTTTGAGCTGATTCTTGCTCTTCTGACAGGAAATCAACCTGCTCGGCTAACAAATCACTATTAACTGACATTTTGTAACTTTACAGGAGCAACAATTATCAATTTAACAGCATTGCCTGAGTAAGAATGACAGTTAATATAAGGACAGTTATGTTTTGTATCACTCTTTTCTCTACAGTCCTGAGCACCTGTACATTCTTATTACAATGATCAATCTCTTAATAACTTTGTAGTGGAACTGTCCATCAATTACCAGAGGTGGAATTTATGTATTGCACAGTCTGACCTGAAGATGCACTCTGAAACCTGTAGTCCGCTACAGGAGATGCAGAACTGCACACTGAGACCTGTAGTCCGCTGTAGTCCGCTGTAGTAGATGAAGCAGAACTGCACACTGAGACCTGTAGTCCGCTGTAGTCCTCTGTAGTAGATGAAGCCGAACTGCACGCTGGTTCACTGCAGGGAATGGAGCACCTCGGTAGGATGAAATTAGGCTACGTTTTCACTGTA